TTTTTGGAAAACCATGTCGTTTATTCGCTGAAATCAATTCCAACAGATCGTACTTCGACATCGATTATTCACTTTCGCATTGCGTTACCGGAAAGTCTTCGGGAATTTCCGAAGAATTGCGTCAGTACAACACAGCATTCTGATTAGTTAATAACCAACTTTGACCCATTAGGTCAGACGACGCTGCTGTAGGTCAAATCTGCAATTGTATTATGGCGGAAAGTGATTTTCATCGAGAGTTTGCGTACGATCCAACAACTTCGTCAGTGGAAATAATATGACAATTTTGACTTTGAATGTGTTCCAACAGACTCAAATGTTTTTAATTCCGTAAATTATGGTGGTACGTAATTAATATTGTAATAAAATGTGCATATTTTTTGTGGTCATTTCTGTTTCTTCATTGTGAAAATCAATGACGACGCAAATTAATTTAGTAATTTGATTTTCCCTCAAAGACGTAATCTGTCACTTGATGAATCACAATTTTCATTTGCACTCTTTTTCGAGGGGGTGCTCGGGTAAGCGCCGACCCCTACAAAATCGTGATTTTCTGAGTTGAGGCCCCTGGGCGCTAACGCGGTCGAGTACGGTATGGCTAATGTTTCAGATGACTATATATGGTCATGTCATAAATACAGTATTCCTTATTTGTACTTCATGCCTCTAATAACTTCACAGAACACAAGAGTTCTTTCTAAGCTTTCTTTGATTAAGATTAAAATGGCCACTATTCGGCCATCTTGAATTAGATTATCAAACAAATTAATGTGCATATGTTTGACATCATGTATGATATATGATGTATATATCAAATTTGAACATCATTGGTCAAGGCATGTTAGAGATATGGATAAGGAACAGTCTTCATTAAAACAAAAAGGGTAGCCAGCTGCTCATTTTAATCTAATCTGAATAACCAGATGACGAACAGCAAGGTTCCATAATTTTTGCACAAAATCCATTTATACACGACCAAGATCTGGTTACAGTATGGCAGAAATGCTACAATTCAACAATCTTGAATCTGATGGTCAAAGTACATGTGCATATGTGCGACAACATGTGTGATGTATATAAAGTTTGAACATGATCAATCAAGGCATGTCAAAGATACAGCTCTGGAACCATAATCATTAAAAATGACCACCAGTCATCCATTGATTAAAATGCACTTAATAGTGGATGTAGAAGTTTTAAAGTAATGTCTTAATTGTGATAAGCTTGTACTGTATCAATGTGTGCAAGAGAGAGTATAGAGTAGTTCTTCTATTAGTTAGACTACCCAATTTTTTCTAAAACAATGCTTTATTTTTTCCTCTCAGCAATTCAATGCACACAATTTATCGACCTTGATTTTCTTCTTATTGTCAAGAAATTTAGCCTCACTGAATTTGTTTCAATTTTTCCCCTTTATGTTTGGAATGACCTCCAATAAAATCTGTAATTCTACAGCCATCAAAAATGTAACCATATGTACTCTATTACATGTAGAAGTGCATATCAAAACAGCAGCACGCTGACACATGTACATGGATGG